ACAAGGACTAGTTAGTAGATTACTGCAGCAGTTCAGATGAATGGTATTGAGGGCTGTGTCAGGGTGTTGGCAATAGAAACAGACAAAGCCTAAAACCAAACCACACATACTTCATTCAGTCTTCTACTTCATTCCACTGTACTCTTTGGAATCTCCCATCCAGTAAACGCCTTCTATTTTGAACCTTTTCTTTATGTGTTGCCTCAATAAAGATCTGACTCTAGACTGTGCCAAATTCCTTGGTGTCCTCTACTTTGGGAGTCTCACCTATCACTACTGTGAAAGAGGTAATCAGCATCAGTTCTAAACCACTAATCTATCACCTTTTCTCTAGTTTCCTTTGCTATAAAAACATGCTGTCCTCCAAGCATGTGCTGTCCACATTCTTCACTCCCTTCTCCAGCTCTTAACCATCATCTCCTAGAAACAACTTCTGCTTTTCTAGATGATGTAAGCATTTGTTTCACATTTCTCTTCTCTACAGTAGAAACGCTGTTTTCCTTGTTGACTTCTGCATCCAGTCTGACATATCGGACTTTACAATTCCTTGACTTCCCTGATTATCACCTTCATTCAGGCTTCCACTGGCAGGTCAGTGGACCTCAGACTTACATGACACCACTTCACTCCAAAGTCTCACAATTGATAGCTCCAATTTCCACCAACAGTCATGCCCAAGTCTCTCAGTGCTGAGTATAGATGTCCTCAGGCGGTCAGCGGTGCTCTGTTCAGTTCCATGAATGCTCTGTGGGGTAGACTTGAGATCCTTTGTTACTGCAATTACATCTAAATATGTCTCAATAAACTTAAAAAAAAAAAAGACATGACTATGTCACTCAAAAACACTATGCTATTCCATACATGCCACCTCTTTGGTTTTATTAGTATAAACCATTTGTTATAAGTGTGAGGTTTTGAGAGGGTGATGAGCAATTTTAGAGGAGAGAACTAATGTGGAGAATATACTAAATGAGATTAACAGCTGCCTTGTTTAGCCTTTATAATTAAAAACAATATCAGATAGGGTAAATTTGTAGTCATATAATTCTGCTTGATTCAATTCAATAAACATTAAGTGCCTATGGGAAAGGCACTGCTCTGCATCACTTTCCCAGTTTTGTGCTGATGAGAAGATGTGAATAAAGGGGAGTGTGAAGGTAATCCCAAGAAGCTCATTGGTGTAATGGCCACCATGAATGGGCCAGAGCTATAGTGAAGTAACACCAAAGGAATCATCTACCATAGAATTTGGACAGAATGGTCAAGTGTGGCTATGGTGGGAATTAAGGTTAGGATAAAATAGGAGAGGTTGAAGGGTAATCCCCACACATCCCCAGGAGAAATAAGCCAAGGATTATAGGATTTGAAACCACAAGGGACTTTAAAGCATCTAATCCATCCCCAGATGGAAAAAGTAGAGCAGGTGACTTGCCCTTAAGAGCCATACACATAGTTAGCAGAGTTGGGATTCAAATGCATGGCCTCATTAACATTTCAGTTCTTTCCCTACTGCACCATATCATCTTCCCTATGAATTTTGTTGCCTGGGATCACCACATTATATCAAGAGAAGAAAAATCTAGGAAGATACCAAGTCTCACATGGCAGATACCAAGTGGGGTCCTTTGAAGACACTGGATGGAAGCAGGGCTAGATACCTTTCCCATCCAATAGTGCTTCCTGAGTAACTACTTCTGAGGGAGTTGGAAAGAGCTTGAAGTTGACATCCTCTTATGCATTTAGCTTCTATATTCTCTCTCTTTTATGTAGTTAAGTACATATTCTTAAAAGCAACATGGCATAATGGATGGAGTACTAGACATAGAGGTGGGAAAACCTGCATTTGAATCCCTCCTCCCATACTAGCTGGGTACCTGAGGAAAGTTAAGGAATTAGAACAACAAGTAGTTAATTGTGGGAACTGAGTGAACCACATTGATTCCATCTTGTGACAATTCTGAAGCTAGCTCAGGTTCCTTTCTGTTCAAGTATAAGTCTAGCCCAATGTCCATCTGGTGAGAAATTTTTATTCAATCATAGGAATTGGAAGGAAACCTTATTTTATTGTTTGAACCTAAGGAAGATTGGACCAAGTCTATCTGCTGCTTAGAGACTCTTAACCAGACCTAGTTATACTGACCAGAAATCTGGTCAGATCCAAAGACCAATATGTTTTCTCACAACTGCAATGTTGTACAACCCATATGTCTTATATGCAAACTGGCCCCATACTAATCAATCAGTTATTATTTCCATATTCCTTTGATTGTTTATAGATATGTTGGGGGGTAGGATATCTCCTTTTCTGATTTCAGGGAATTTCACTCTCCCCTTCCCAACTTAGAAAGTCATTCATCCAATTTCATCCAATTAGAAATCAGATTACCTAGTGTATTGTTTCCTTTTAATTAATTGATCTTATTTGGTTAAATTTTTTTGGTTAATTGTTTTTAATGTATAAAAGTCTGTCTCCCTCTGTATTCAGGGTCCAGCCCTAAGCTGAGTAAGGGGCCTGGTCCCAATTTGTTAGACAGTTGGCATGTATTGCTTAATAAATCAGAAGCTTGAACCTTTGTTTCCTCAGTCATTTCATCTTTTACCTGCCACAGTGACCCTGGGTATATCATGTAACTTCTCTCAGACTCAATTTTTTTTACTAGTAAAAATGAGATAATTGTTGCATTTGCTTCAAGGCTATTATGAGTACATTAAAAGATCGAATGTTGGGACAGCTAGGTGGCACAGTGGATTCGAGAGGACCTGAGTTCAAATCCAGCCTCAGACACATAACATTTACTAGCTGTGTGACCCTAGGCAAGTCACTTAACCCATTGCCTAGCCAAAAAAAAAAAAGATTGAATGTTTGTGGGGAGTGTGTCCAATGCCTCCTTTCCCAAAACCTATAAACCTTTCTGAACTGACAGATATTTGATGCAGCAAGGAGAAAGTTATGGAGGAAAGAAATGAAACAAGAGGCAAGATGACTGTGGGTTATGGCTTCCCATGACTCAGCAGCTAATTACCCTCATCAATTAGTTCCTGGAATCCAGAGAATGTGCCCAAAGAAAACGAGGGGCTGGAAAGGATAACAGTTTGGCATTAGAGCATTGAGAAGAGGAGACACTTCTGGAGCTTGGGGAAGAGAGCACTAGAAAGGGAAAAACAAACCCAGGGACAGCTAGAAGACCTGATAGAGATCAAGGAACATTAGCTGTATTTCATCTTTGTTCTACAGAGTATCTAAGTTACCTTCTATTGCCCCAAGGAAATAAATATTTTAGGAGACTTTTTAAAAAATAGCTATGTATTAAATGTTTCTAATTGGTTGGATATCTAAACATGTATTTGTGATTTGTGTAACTAAATTTTTTAATATGATCAAGTAAGTTTACATGTTTACCAAATTGCCAAACCCAAGATAATTTAAGAAGTTTATCAGTCTCTAACTGTGACTCACTCTAAGGAAACTTTCCATAAGAGAAAAAATGGAGACTTTTTCATAGTCTAGAAGAGAAAAGAAAAAAGAACTGTAACAAAAAGTTGACTAGGGGTTTATTAATCATTCCAATTTAGATACATGTGACCCTTTAGAGGGAATCTAATTAGACAGAAGGTTGGGATATGCTTCCAATATATTTGGATGACCTCAAAAAAAGGGTGGAAATGTGGGCAAGAAAAAGGTACAGGGAGAGAAAGAATGGGGGAAATTATTTCATATAAATGGAGTATGCAAGGAGATGATTAACAAACATTTCCCACCTTTGCCATCCCTGAAAATTCACACCCATATACACATCTAGACTTCTCTGTTTTATGCCAAAAGTACCACCATCCCTCCAGTCATCCATGTTCACTACCTCAGTGTCAACCTTGACTCTTTTCACTTATCCCACATGTGCCATCAGGTGGCAGATCATGTCATTGCTACCTTCCTGACAGCTCACATCTGTCCTCTTTTGCCAACTTGCACAGATACACTTTAGTTCAGGCCCTCATCACTTCACCTGGACTATTGCCATAGCTTCCTATCCAAACCAGTCTCCCTGCCACTAATCTGTCCTACATGTAAAGAAGAATTTGAATTGAATTTTTGTGTTCTTTAGTATAGAGAAAATTGTCAGGCTCAGAAAAAAAAAAAGGCTTTTGAGCAGCAGGGGTGGCTCCGTGGTGTGGGGGAGGGGGCAGTGGTGGGGTAGTGGAGGAAAATATGAAAACCTGTGAATATGTGTCTATATGAGCTTCCAGCATTTTCTCCAAATTTCAGAATATGGACAGTTCCTATCCTGGGTTTCTAGTCAGAACAAGGCAATATTGAAAGTATATTTCTCTTCCAAGAATGTGTCTGCTGTGGTTGATCTAAGGGACAAAATCATTCAGCTCTCTCTCGCTCTCTCTCTCTCTCTTGCTCTCTCTCTCTCTCTCTCTCTCTCTCTCTCTCTCTCTCTCTCTCTCTCTCACACACACACACACACACACACACATACACCCCTCTGTGGTGGATATTATCTAATAATAAATCAGCATTTATTAAATGCCGAGGTACTGCGCTACATACTGGAGATACCAAGACAAAAATTAAAGTCCTTGACCTCAAGGAGTTTACATTTTATTGGGGACAGACAACGTGCACGCGTGTGTGTACATATACACCTAAACATATATACATGTGTGTGCATGTGCACACATGTGTACGCATGCATAATCTGCTCTGCCTGGCGTGAAACCACTTGGATCCTTGGGGAACCTTCTTATGGAAATAGATCACAAGATGGAATGCAGAGGCTCTGTTCCCAATTCAGAGCATGCCCAAGTATTTTGTGACTGTTTCCTGCCAACCTACTGGGTGCTGAAAAAAGTCTTTTGATGGTCTACAGAAATTCTGTAAATCCCCGATGGGGAGAGACAGGCCTCAGGCTCTTACCTTCCCACATAGGTTGATATGAATCCATGAAAATGTAGTGCTGCAGCTTCTCTGTCTTATTTTTCTTTCTTGTTCTTAGGTAAATGAAGTAGGAGATGGAATGGGCTAGGCCACAAAGGTTTGAAGAACTACCAGAGGTCCAGTGACAGAGCCCAGGAAGAAGCCAGCCATGAGAAGCAACCTGCTTGACTATGTCCAGCACCGAATCTGTCTAGAAGCTGAGATGCTTTGCCCTGAAAGCAAGGGAGCTGGTCCCCGATGGCTACAGTGCATAGAGATATAGAACATAGTGGTGGAACTTATAGAACATATACAACTTAGTGGGGAAATATTTTTTAATCACCACTTTAAATTTGTGTCTGCTCTGTACAGGGACTGAGAGAATATGCAAAAGGGAGAGAGCATCCCTCACCATGTTTTGGTGCTTGATATATCTTTCCAGTAAATATCCCTTTGTAAGAACTAATGGATGTTAATTGGTCCTCAATGTACTGGTCAGATGATATTGCGGCAAAGATCATTGGTAATTTATATTAGGGAGAAATCCCTAGAATGGGAAATCAAGCCAATAATATTAGAAGAATTGTGCTGAATCCCTCAAGATAGCCCTAGAACTCTGAGGAGACAAAGCTGCCCTCTAAAAATCCAAGTTGCCAAATGAGAGTGCTACTTGGGATAAGATAAATGGACATTCATTTAGTTAGGAGCAGGAAAGAATAAAACAAAAGACAGAAAAACAGCAGCACCATGCCTATATGGCTTTCAGGTGAGGAAATAGGAGCATCTGACCTCTGTGTCCACCCACAGGGCTTTTTTTTTTTTGGTCCTCATCAACACTACGAGAGAGAGAGAGAGAGAGAGAGAGAGAGAGAAAGAGAGAGAGAGAGAGAGAGAGAGAGAGAGAAAAGAGAGAGAGAGAGAGAGAGAGAGAGAGAGAGAGAGAGAGAGAGAGAGAGAGAGAGAGAGAGAGATCTCCAGTTAGTACATATTGTTTGCCCACTCAGTTCCAGCTCAACGGCCAATTAAAAGGCTGAGAAGAAGCACAAGAAAGTCACAGAATGCTTGTGCATGCTCTGATATGGATAGGCTCCTGGCTCATCACCCACTTCCCAAGTTCCCAGGCATTCACCTGGGTTGGCAAAGTGACTATGTTTCTGGGACTGGGACCTCGTTAGCTAAGCCCACCTACACAGACACCAGGGTAAATTTTTGAGAAGACACCAGCATCTTAGAAAGTCAGAAAAGGCTTTATATAGGTGTTCTTGAGTTTTGAAGGAAATGAGGGATTCTAAGAGGCAGAAGTAAGGTGGGAAAAAGCAGCAAGGAGACCAGTTTGCTTAAACTGCTGAGTGTGGGAAAGAGAATGATGTCTAATAAGGTTGGAAAAACAAGTTGGAATCAGTTTGTGAACAGCTTTAAAAGCTAAACAGAGTTTACATTTGACAATAGATTTTTCTCATGAACAGATTTGATCATGCCCCTTCTCTGCTCAAAATTCCCAAGTGGCTTCCTATGACCTACCACATAAACTTCAAACTCTAGGTTGGCATTTAGGCCTAGCCCCAATATTGCACCATCCTAATCCTGCCTTTTTAGCCATATCATACTACTTCTAAGAACATCACTGGGTCATAGAACTGAAAGAGCCCTTAGAAATCATCTAATCCAACCCCTTCGTTTTATATGAAGAAACTTAAGAGGTTAAATCCCCCCAAAAATGAGGCAGCTGTATGGCACAGTGGATAGAGCACCAGCCCTGGAGTCAGGAGGACCTCAGTTCAAATCTGATCTCAGACATTTGACATTAGCTGTGTGACCCTAGGCAAGTCACTTCACCCTGACTGCCTCCTCCCCCCCCCCCCCCACCAACAAAGAGGTTAAAAGACTTAAAAGGTCCCAAAGGTAATAAACTGAGTGAGATTAGAACCAGCTCCTCTGGGTTCAGTGCTTCCTTCTACATTATAGCTTCTCACTTATGCACAATGCTCCAACTAAATTAAGCTACTCACCAATGCCCACAAAAGCTTCATTTACCTGAGCTTCACACTTTTGCTCACACTGTTCCCTAAGCCTGTAATGTCCACCCCATCTCTATTTCTGATGGTTGAAATCAAACCCAACCTATACGACCTAGCACCAATGCCTTCTCCATAGAGTCTTTTGTGATCCCATTAGTAATGATCTCTGCCTGCAGGTACCTCACAAACTACTTGGTATGTATTACTCACACATGTATCATTTTGTTTGTGAGAATGTCATATTCACCTGCCATCAGATTCTGACTATGAGGTACATAAAGTTGAGACCTGTTTTACTTATTCTCCCTAAAACATAGAAGAATGCAATCCAACTACCATGTCATGGTAGCTTTGCCAATCAAAGGATTTCAGAGTTGGAAGGGGCCTCAATGGCTATCTAGTCCAAATCATACCTGAAAAAGCCCAACCACAACCTACTTACCTATGGTCTTCCAGCCTTTGCTTAAAGACCTCCAGCAAGAGAGAACCTGCTCCCAGTGAAATTCATTCTACTTTTGGTTCATTCTGTTAGGAAGCTGTTCATTACAGAAGTCTAAATTTGCCTACTCCTCCTGGTTCTGCCTTTCAGGGATAGAGACAAATGTCTAATCTCTCCTCTACATGACAGTCTTATGAATAAAAACAACTATTATGTTCCTTAAGGAGTCTCCTTTTCTCCAAGATAAGCATTCCTCGCTCCTTCAACTAATCCTGACAAGGATACTCTCTAGCTAACCAATGTCCTTCATAATCTGTGGTGCCCAGAACTTAACACAATACTGCAGATGTGATATTCTAGAGAAGAGTATAGAGGGTACCATCACCTCCTTACTCCTGGAATCTATGCCTCTCAATGCAACTCAACATCCCATCAACTCTTGGCTGCCACGTCACAATGTTGCCTCATTTTTTTAGTGGACTGCGATTCAGAGATGTTTAGAAGACAAATTATTAACCTTGTATACCATGTACTATGCTTAATTAATTTTTTAAACTACATTAACTCCTATTTAATTTCACCTTCTTATAGTCTGCTCAATAGTCTAACCTAATTCTAATTAAAATATTTTTCAACTCCATGTATCATCTTGTATGTTAGCTACCCTTCACAGCTTTGAATGCCATTTATGTATTTTACAAAAATGAGGGCCATATAAAACAGCCATTTCTCTCTCTCAAAGCAATAAGTAGTATTGTAGCTGAAGGAAAATCTAATAACTCAATTCCTGTATATTTAATATATGATAAAATTTTATTAAGTTCTCCCCCTCTGCACAATCTCCAACATGAAGTCTCTGATCAGTGATGAGGCATTCATTACATTTATGGAAATTTTCACCAATGTGAATTATCTTAAGTCTTCTTAGGTGTTCCCTCTAGCTGAATACTTTCCCAAACACATTATATTCACAAGGTTTCTCAATGGTATGAATTTTCTTATGAGCAGCAAAGGTCTGCCTCAACCTAAAAGCTTTCCCACATTCATTACATTCAAAGGGTTTCTCTCCAGTATGAGTTTTCTTGTGTGTATTAAGGTTTCCTTTTTGGCTGAATGCTTTCCCACATTCACTGCATTCAAAAGGTTTCTCTCCAGTATGAATTCTCTTATGTGCATTAAGGCTTCCCTTACGGCTGAAGGTCTTCCCACATTGATTACATTTATATGGTTTCTCTCCAGTATGCATTCTCTGATGTTGCAAGAGGTATGAACTATGCCTGAAGGTTTTCCCACATTCTTTACATTCAAAGTGCTTCTCTCTAGTATGAATTTTCTTATGTATATTAAGGTAAGTACTGTTGATGAAGGTTTTCCCACATTCACTGCATGACCAAGGCTTTTCTCCAGTATGAATTATCATATGTACCTTAAGACTTCTATTCTGGCTAAAGGCTTTTCCACATTCATTACATTTATAGGGCTTCTCTCCAGTATGAATTCTCTTGTGTACATTAAAGCTTCCCTTCTGGCTGAAGGCTTTCCCACAATCACTACATTTATAGGGTTTCTCTCTCGTATGAATTCTTTGATGTTGGCTTAGATATTGATTACTACTGAAGGATTTCCCACATTCATTACACTCAAATGGTTTCTCTCCAGTATGAATTATCTTGTGTATATTAAGGTGAAAATTGTTACTGAAGGTTTTTCCACATTCATTACAGGAGCAGAGCTTTTCTCCACTATGAATTATCTTATGTGCATCAAGACTTCTCTTCTGGCTGAAGGCTTTCCCACAGTCATTGCATTTATATGGTTTCTCTCCAGTATGAATCCTCTTGTGCACATTAAGGCTTCCTTTCTGGCTGAAGGTCTTCCCACACTCATGACATTTATAGGGCTTCTCTCCAGTATGAATTCTTTGATGTTGAGTTAGGTATTCATTACTGCTGAAAGCTTTCCCACATTCATTACATTCAAATGGTTTCTTTCCAGCATGAATTAGCTTATGTCTTTTAAGGTTTCCCTTCTGGCTGAAGGATTTCCCACATTCATTGCACGTATAAGGTCTCTCTCCAGTATGAATTCTTTGATGTACAGTAAGGCATGAGTTAATGCTAAAGGCTTTACCACATTCATTACATTTATGGGGTTTGCCTCGAGTATGTCTTCTATAGTAATGAATAAGGTTTGAATGGTAACTAAATGACTTTCTGCATTTATTATACTTACACAGTTTCTTCCCTAAGGTTATATTGTGTTTAATTGGATCTAAAAATGGTTTGAAGCTCTTTCCAAGTGGATCATATTTGTGAAGACATTTTCCTAAAGGAACTCTCTCTGGAAGAATGAAGATTGCTCCAAATGTATTATATTCTTGAGCATTCAGTTCATTAAAATTTTTTTTGTTTGGGATTCTCACTTGTCTGGACTCTTTCTCTTGGTAACTTTTCTCTCTCTCTAACCTGATCTGACAATCCCAAGGTTCTCCCAACTTAGAATTCCATGCACTATCCTTAGTGAGTTTCTCCTTAGGTAACTTTTCTATAGAAACAAGCTGTTCTGTAATTGACTCCTTGGTTTCATACCTTGTCTGCAAAACAAGAGAATCTGGAAAAAAAAAAAAGGATACATATCCATTATTTTCTGTGCTAGGAAAAAGGAAACTTGTATACTAAGTTCTAGATTCTGTCTTCTCAATCAAAAAGAGTGAAGAATTGTCTTACTGCTAAAGTCAAGTGACTGCTATTATCTCCCTACAGGAAGAAAAGAGAAAGGAGTTTGAGAAATATCTACCCATTCTATAAGGTAGCAGGGTGAATGAAATTAACACTTAAAAAAAGGGATCTCGGAAGTAAAAACAATAAAGAAAAAAGATCTGAAAGAGCCTTGACCTAAGTCCAGAGGTTAGAGGAGAGAAGAATGTGAGGAAAGAGGACAAAAGAGAGGCTCACTAAACAACTGGCACTAAATAAGAGCTCCAAAAAAGCAACAATTAGAGTTAGCATGGCTTCATCAAGAGTAGAGAATCCTGGGAGACTCAACTCATTTCCTTTTTTTGACAGCATTTGATACAGTCTTTAATGTTATACTAGTAGATAAGACAGAGACAAAGGCTAGGAAGTGGATTCAGAACCAGTTAATTACCAGATCCAAAGAGAAGTAATTAACATTTATGTCAACTTAGAGCAGAGACTTTAACAAGAATAAGCTATCTAAAATTTTTATCAGTGGCTTGGAGGCAAACACAGAAAGCATTTTTCCCATATTTACATATAAGATAAATCTGAAAGGTATGCCTTTATAT